TACACGGACGACTTCACGGACCGCTTGGGTGTCCTGGAGGCGGACTCGGCCATCCGGACTGCAGGCGTCAAGTGCCTGCTCACCTACAAGCCCGACGTCTACACCTACCTGGGCATCTACCGGGCCAACCGCTGGCACCTCTGCCCAACTCTCTACGAGAGCCGTTTCCAGCTGGGGGGCGATGCCCGCGGTTCTCGGGTGCTGGATCGTGCCAACAATGTGGAACTGACCTAGTGGGGCCAGATTTCGCCCCCTGCCCTTCTGCGGGAGGGCTGCCCCTACCTTCCTTGTCAACCCCCCACCCCCAGGCCAGACCCCAACCCTGAGGGACCGGGTTAGGTCACTCAGGAACTGCCAGCATCATTCGCCCCCCTTGCATCTCTGTCCAGGAGTGACTTGAACCCCTGCAGGTAGGGGGCCCTGGCTCGCTGAGGGCCGGGCCCTCAGCCTTTGTCTTCGCTGCTGCTCCCGTCCCCCTCACAGGACCACTGGCTGGGGCTGGAAGCCAGGGAAAGCCATCTCGGCCACCCCTGTCGCCTCACCAGGCTGCACTGTCCCTCCTGCATTGTCTTCGTCTTCCCTCCCCCCACCCTCTGGAGGGAGAAAATGCCAGTGCTTCTAGCCCCTCCCTTGGAGCCCTCTGGGGCCAGGGCCGGGGCCCTGCAGGCCTGAGCACGCCACTGGGGGTGGGTGAGTCCTTGTGCCCACTCAGTCCCTGGCAGAGAGAGGGGACACTGGGACCACAGACCCCAGGCCTGCCCCTCCCCGCAACTCACAGCCTGCACCACCCCAGTCCCCTCCTCAGCGATCTTGTCACTTGCCTGCCCCTGACATTCCAATAAAGCCCGCTTGGGTCTGTGTCTTCAGTGTTTAAAAAAAAAAAAAGAAAAGAATGAAAAGCAAAGCTGCGATGGGAAGAGCAGTGTAATTAAGCGTCTGTAGAACAAGGTAGTATGTGTGCATATGTGTAAACCAAACACCAGGCTCACGGCCATGGAGTCCGTTCTGACTCACGGTGACCCTAAAGGACAGGGTAGAACTGCCCCTGTCGGGTTCTGAGAATGTCACTCTTTACCGGAGTAGAAAGTCTTCTTGTCTTTCTCCCGAGGAGCTGCTGGGGGTTTCAAACTGCTGACCTGTGGTTAGCAGCCCAGCATGTAATCACTACGTTGCCAGGCCTCCTCATGAACTTGTCTCTACAATTTTTTTTGAATTCCGTTATAATTAGGTGCTATTGCTTTACAAAGTCTGGGCCTGGTCTCTTTTTGTCAAAGTGTGAGATGCTAAATAATTTTAACGTCACACGAAGGCTATTTTCTAATATAGCTAGAAAGATATAAAGCAGTACTCAAAGGGAACTGAGGTTTGCGGTAGAGAAACAAGCATTGTGCTGAGGATTACGAAGAGAACCAGAGCTGACCCCAAAGACCCACAGGGTCCAGTCACTCATGAAGTCACTGCCATTGAATTGATTCTGGCTCAGAGGGACCCTTTGGATTTCCCTTTCTGGAGTAGAAAGGCCCATCTCTTTCCAACAGAGCAGCTGTTGGTTTTGAACTGCTGCCCTTGTGGATGGCAGCCTAATCCTGACACCACCAGGACTCTTCTACAATGTCCAATAGAAGTATAAGAAAGTATAAAATTCCTAGATTACTCAAAACCAAACGTACTGCCATTCAGTAGAACTGCCCCCGTGGGCTTCCAAGACTGTAGCTTTTTATGGAAGCAGAGAATTTCATCTTCCTCCCATCTACTGACCTAGCAGTTAGCAGCCCACCTCAAAACCCAGTACGCCCCCAGGGCTCCTAGATTACTGGAGATATGGAAAAGCTAGAAAATTGACTCCTGGTCCAAAGAAAAAGGACACAATAAGCATGTTTTGAGATAATGTGGGTTTTGGAATTAGCACCCACGATGTTGTTAATGGTCGACTGATTAGCACTAGAATTAATATCCCACAAATGGTAATAATAAACTCTGGATGAGATGTAACAGAACGACTATTCGAAGTCACTGGAGAAGGACAAAAGGCAGTCAGAAAGTGGAGGTGATTTGGACCCTTAAAGGAAAGGTGTTACACTCACTGGAGGAATCACACCTACTGGAGAGTCATGATTATACAAAATGTCCCTCACCCATGTGCCATGGACAGTCACGTTCAGTGGAAATCTGCCCTCTTATTGACTTAAAATGCCAGATGTTAGAATTTCAAAGCTGCAAGGTTGGCAGGAAATGCAGGGGAAAATCTTAGAACAAAGAGAGCCACAGAGGTGGGAGCCCCCTCCCCCACCACAATCTGCATGTACAATGCCACCAAATACTTGATTGACCTCCAAATTATGTGTATGCAGGGAAGACTTCAAGAATCACTACAAGGAGAAGGTTGAAGAAAGCTCAGCAGAGATTTCAGCTGCTACCCACTGCAAGAGACAGAATTTGAAGTTCGAATGCTGCACATCAAAGAGGTTTAGTAAACAGCCTGGCCTTTAAACATAGTCACCTTGACAAAGCATAGAATCATGCCTTCACAAGTTCAAGATGATCAGCCAGTAATTTCATTGTTGCAGAACAAAAATCAACACTTCTGAAGATAATAATAAAAATCAGAGCATCTATGGAATACCGACAATGTCCAGTATATAATTACTAGCTTATAAGACATATGGAAAAGGGGGGAAATATGACCCATAGTAAAAAGTAATATTAATAATAAAAGAAGCACGTGATGAACATATCCTAAGATCATTTAGCTTTTCGAATAGCCCACAAGACCTCATGGCAGCTATTACATGTAGTTTTGTGGACTAAAAAAAGATAGGCATAATGAATAAACATATGGCTAATCTCAACAACAAAAAAATAAATGAAAATGTAAGGTAAAAAATGGGAAATTCTAGAACTAATGGTACAATTACTGAAATGAACATTTTACAGGATAAGATTAGGAACAGACTGGAGACAGTCAAAGAAAGGACTGGTGAACTTGAAGATGGGCCTGTATAAAAGATCCAATTAGAAGGAAAGAGATAAAAAGAGTTTTTTTAAAAAAGGAAACCAATCTTTAGTGGCATATGAGACAATGCCAATCAAGTGAACATACATGCACCTGAAATTCCAGAGAATAAAGAGAGAGAATGAGACAAAAATAAGTTGAACAAATAATGGCTGAAAAGTTTCCTTCTTCGCGTGAGAAACATTAAAACTCGACAAGCATCAGACAGGATAAATACAAAGAAAACTATACATAATCATACTGCAAGCTCTTGGTAGTGAGGAGGAACAGTAATTCACATTACCGTGCTAGTAACAGGGGCAAGAATGATGACTAGAGACAGACAAACAACAAATAGTCCTGCAAACTGAACTATGACACTCATGGGGACATACGTCTCAGAACTGTCAAACACATGACACCTAAAAGGGAGCACTTGCTAAAAAAAAAAAAAGGAAAAAGAAAAAAGACGCCTACAATTCAGAAGGGGCAGGAAAGCTGAAAGCGTGGAAGTAGGAGACGGAGGGAGGGAGGAAGGGGAAGAGAGCTGTGACCTGGAGGGGATACCAACTCACGCCCTGGAACAAAATGTGTATGAATGATTGGATGGGATTTTCTCTGTAAACTGAAACCCACACTACAAGAGACAAGGAAACAGCACAGGGCAGGGAAGACTCAGCTTCACGGCTGACGTTGCGCCTGAAGCAATGGAGGCCAGAAGAAAATGGAGCCAACGCTTGTGAGCACGAGGAGGGAAAGCTGCCTGTCTGTCATTATCCAGCGAGGCTGAAATTCAGACAGTTTCAGCTACCAGTAAACTGGTAGGATTTATAACACATAATAAAATAGATTTTTTTTTCTAGCGGAAAGGAAATGACATTATGCAAAATGTGGATCTACTGACAGAATGGAAGAGCCCAAGAACTAGAAATGTGTAGGCAAATAAGAAACACAATTGTTTCCCTTTCAGTTTCTTTAAACAATCAAATGCCTAAAGTGAAAATTGTAATACCGTATTGTGGGACTTTTTTAAGATTAGAAGTAGAGTATATGATAGCAATAGCAAAAATGGAAGGGGAAAAAATGGAATTATACTTTTACAAGGTTCTTAATTTTATACAAGATGCTACACTATGAACTCACTGTAACTGTGTTGAGCTTAAATTCTAACATTAAGTTCTACAGACTTATCACCGTTCGCAGCAAGGTGCCACAGCTTTGCCCTTGGCAGTGTGTTTGAAAGCAGATTCTGATTTCTCTAGGCAACCCAGCCCCCACTCGCTTGTCAGCCTGTGGTGCAGTGGTAACTTGCATATTGCTGTGACGCGGGGAATGATTCCACCATATTTCAAATATCAGAAGGGTCACCCATAGTGACCAGATTTCAGTGGAGCTTCCAGACGAAGAGCTACTAGAAGAAGGATGACGTGGTCCGCTTCTGAGGGATCAGCCACTGAAAATCTTATTCAAAGCAACAAACCACAGACATACTGGCAGAAGACGAGCCCCTCAGGCTGGCAAACACTCAACATGTGACTGCACAAGAGTGGCCTCTCAGAGTGGAGTTGGTCTTCAAGACATGAATGGAGCAAAGCTTTTAGGACTTCCAGTTGCTAATGAGGCGTGATGCCGAATGAGAACAAACAGTTATCAATACCCCTTAATAGTTGGAATGTGTAACGTTCAAAGTATGAATCTAGGAGAATTGAAGGTCATAGAAAATGAGTGAACTGCATAAAGATCCCCTCGGCATTAATGTGCTGACGTGGCCTGGCACTGGCCATTTTGAATCGGACAATCACATGGCTTACTGTGCCAGGAATGACATCCATGAGGAATGGGATCACATTCATTGCCAAAAGTAATATTTCTTTTTTTTCCCCAAAGCTGTGTATTTTAAAAAATTATTATTATTTTTTAATCATTTTATTAGGGGCTCATACAACTCTTATCTCAATCCATACATATATCAGTTGTGTAAAGCACATTTGTACATTCATTGCCCTCATCATTCTGAAAACATTTGCTCTCCACTTAAGCCACTGGTCTCAGGTCCTCATTTTTTCCCCTCCCTCCGCGCTCCCCCCTCCCTCATGAGCCCTTGATAATTTATAAATTATTATTTTGTCATATCTTGCCCTGTCCGACGTCTCCCCC